TCTTTCAATGTGAGTTTCCCGAGGACCACAGACTGTCTTCTACCATCGATTCAATCAACAAACACTGTCGGTGTCTTGTTGGTGGGGAATGAAGTGAATGACCAAGTGCCCGCACTTCTGGAATCACGGTCTAGACATGTCCCTCTCCCGTACAATAGCCAGTAGCCAGCTGTGACTATTAAGCACTTGAAATGCAGCTTAGTCTGATTTGAGACAGGCTGTCAGTATAAATATACACCGCATTTCGAAGTCTTATTTATTAGTGTCTATTTAAGAGATACTTTATCCCTGCCCTTGAGGACTTCAGATAGGCTGAAAAGTGGGATAGGTATACCAACATGGAACTAAAACTCACTGATACATGTCTCAGTTGATCCATGATCCAGGCCTCTGGGGACCTGAAAAGAAATCTGGGAAGTCTTCACAGAAGAGGTGACGTTACTGTTAAGATTACAGGATGAGTAGGAGTTCACAAGATGGGTAATGAAGAAGCTCATTCTAGGCCCAGGCAACCAAACATACAAAAGCTAAGAGGCTGATAAGTGCACAGGGTGTTTGGAGGGATATGTGAAGTTCATTGTGGCCCAAACATGGTTTGTTCAAGGAAGAGGCTAGAGATGGGCCCAGACTGTGTAGAGCCCTGAATGCCATTAAAGTTTAGGCCTGGGGGAGGGGCTAAGGCTGGGGGAAGGCTCTTAGGCAGGAGGTGGCGAGTCCCAATGTCAATGAGCTCACCCATCCACCCTCCTCAAAGGTGTGAAGAAGACCAGACCAAGCTTGTTTGAATGTGAAAAATAAACTCTTTTATTTCAGTGCTCACTACTTGTGGCTCAAAAGCATATCTACTGTCTGCTTGGAACCCCAAAGCATTTTATAAAACCATAGAGAAATAGAGCAATATTTATAATAGGAACATACGTGTTGGCTCATTTTGTGATTCTTCCCTGTGCAAAGCAGAAAGTTCTAAGTGCATCAGTATGACTTTCCCCAAGTCCCTCTCTGGGCTTTTGGGGGCCCTGGAGGCTGTGACCCCACCCCAGTTAGAGAATGCTCCTTATCTCCCTCGTCCAGAATGAGGGGGGCCTAGTCACATGCGGAGTGTGGGGGATGAACTCAGAGATGACAACTCAGGGGCTCTCCAAGCTTACTAAGGGGCAAGGGCTGTGTTCCAAGGCCATGGTCCTGCAAAAAGTCGGTGGATGAGGTGCCAACCTTGTTGGTTAGTGACCAGGACAGGCAGCTAAGGCACTTGTGAAGTCTAAGCATTGCGATGGGTGGGCTCACGGGGAGGACAGGGGCCTCCGGGGCTCTTTTCCCCTAGAATTGGGATTTGAAGGAAGGTGGGGGACCTGCACTGGGCGGGGGGCAGAATGGTGATCATGGTCATGGTTTCACTTTCAGAAACATCCTGGGTCTTTGGCCTAAGTCTCTGTGGAGCCAGGGAATAAGACTCGCTGGCATTTGCAAGACTTGGTCATACAAAGCATCCGAGTTGCAGAGCGAGAGGGCCTTGGAGATGAACTGGATCAACCTCTCCACTGACCAAAAAGGACACCGAGGCCCAGAGAGGAGAAGAAGGCAGTGGCTGGCCGGTCTTGGGGCTCCAGCCCAGGGCTGGTCCCACATGGCCTCTCTGACATTCTCAGGTCAAGTCTGGTGTCATGAATTGGATGCTGGACTTGGAGTCAGACGGCCCAGACTCTGTTCTCATGCCTTCACAATACCCAGACTTGCAAATATCCACGAGCTAGCCGGTGTGAAATGAACCACCGCCCTTCGCCAAGCCTCAGTCCCCTCACTGTGAAAGCAGCTCCCACTCTGCAGGTTCCTGTGGTGATTAAATGGGTTGGTGGCCGCGTGAGCACCAGCAACTACAGGAAGCACCTGGCACATACTACGTGCCTCGCCATAGTGAGGAGGGTAGGGGACTGTGGGCCAGAGCTTCTGGGATGTGGGAGAAGCTTAAGCCTGGCCTATATCAGGGACCCTCCCATCCCTACCTGCTCTGTCTATCCCAAGGGCCCCTGGGGCTTGGGCACAGTCTGGGGTAGGGGTGCAGGGCATGTGGGGTGTTGAGTTCCTTGAGTCAGCCGAAGGACACACTGTCTCTTTTTTGCTTGCTTCTAGGGGCTACGGAGTAGATCAGACAATATGGCGGGTGGTCAGTAGCTTTCCAAATGACATCTGGGCTGGACAGGGAGGCGTGGGTCCCTCCTCCACCTCCCCAGGCCCAGTCAGCCAAGGTCAAGTCTCCCATGTGGAGGTACAGAACATTCCTTACAGGTAAAGGGGGGATGGGAACCAGGCTCAGGGGACAAGATGGGCCAGAAGTATTTATATTCCAAATAACTCCCCCACCCTCCCAGGGGTAGGCAGCCTACCCCTGACCTGGGGTCTGGGACTCAAAGGGGGGAAATTTTGCTCATTAATTTGGGATAAAGATTGGGGGTCAAGTTGTGGGCTCTTGGCTGGCTGAGGTGGGGCTGGGCACAGGCGTCCCTTAGGGGGGGCCAACGATGACGTTCCGGAAGCCCTTCACGGCCTTTAGCCTGTCACTCTCGAAGTTCACCACCAGCTTGTGGCGGCCCACGTGGAGGGGCAGCAGGTCCACCCTCACCTTGGCTTCTGCCCCTGCCTCCACGGGGTCTGAGCTGTGGAGAGAGTGGAAGAGGGTGAGGAGAAGGACCCAGGCCTGGTCCCCATAATGGAGTCAGGCCAGGATGACGTATGACTCCTGAGAACTTAGCACGGATGTACAGCTTAATGCCAACAAGAATAAAATGGGCCCACTGACCACTCTCTGAGGTCCTGGGCAATCTGCCTTCCTATGTGGAGGGGGGCTCGTGTGTGTGCGTGAGCCCACGTGGACGTGATGGTGTGCTTGGGGGTAAGAGTGGGTGTGCTCAGGTGCCCATGGGTGAGAATGCATTGAGATGTACATGCATGATTCTGTGTTCTGTACTGTATGTAAGTTACATTATAATAAAAAAGTAAAAGATAAGAAGTGTGTGTGTTTGTATCTGTGTACATACGTAGATATGTTCCTAGGAGGATGCATACACACATGCATGTGTGTGTCCACACACCTCTGTAGACAATCAGGGTGCAGATGCCTGTGTTTATGCCAGGACACGTGTGTCGGGAGCGGGTGCTTAGTGATCGAATGTGTAACTGTTCGGGTTTGTGAAGGCGCGTGCATGGAACACAGCTAACGTGGTGGGGTGTTGGGAGGATCTGAAGGTGGGAACTCTGCCCTGAGAATGTTTAGGAGGAAATATGGGGGGGTATATTGGACAGGTGTGTGTGTGGGGGGGGGGATGAGAAGAGGGGCTCTCGGTGGGAGTTTGGTGCCGTATGTAGGGTAGCCCTTCCCTCCATTAGCATTTGCCCTCTGCTCCCAGGTCTCCAGGCTGGAGTGACGGGCACTTACACCTCCACGGTCTTCTGCTCCTCAGTCAGGCCGGCCCCCTCCACGGTGAACGTGCAACCTCCCAGTGCTATGGTGAGTGGGTTCCGTAGGGACACCTCAGCCACCAGCTTGCGGTGTTGCTTGGGCTCTCCCAGGACCTGGGAGAGGGCAAGGGGCAGATGTCAAGGGCAGCACTGAGGGAACAGGCCCAGAGCCCCTCAAGGGCAGGCAGAGTCCTGGCTGGGTCATCTCTGTATTTGCTGCAATTTGGCCCAATGTTTGCTGAACAACGCCATGCCCACTCTGCCACGCCCATTCCCCACCTCTGTGCCTCAGTTTCCTCATCTGGAACACAAAGGTGATGATACCTGTCTGGGCCTCCTGCGTGGAGCTGCAGTGAGGCTCCATGCAACCCAGAGGGGGTATAAAGTGCCTTCGCTGTTCTAGGGTCAGGAGTGGAAAGATCACAGGCTTTGAAGCCAGCTGATTTCTGCCCTTTTCTCACTGTGTGACCCTGGGAAAGTCACTACCCTCTCTGAGTCTTAGTTTCTTTCTATGGGAGAGAAATGCCTGACCACAGGGTTCTCATGGGGATTACTGAGCTAAAATGTGCAAACTCCTAGCAGAGTGTCGCACACACTGCTCGTCCCATCCCCCTCCACGCTTTACTATTTATTTGTAACTGTTGCATTTGGGATGCTGGGGCTGTGGCTCCTTGAAGTGATTCACTATGATAATGATGATGATAGTCAGCTTTTATTAGAATTTATAATGCACTGGCAAATGTTCTGTAAGCTTCCTGTGGATGCACATTTAATCTGTAAAACATCCATCTTACAGAGGAATAAACTGAGGCACAGAAGGGGGCAAAGTAACATGCCCAGAGTCATCCAGGCACAAACCCAGGCAGTCAGACGCCAGAGTCTGTTACTTCCCTGCCCTACCAGGGCCCCCGGCTCTGAGGATCTAGACTTAGGAGGTTAGCATTTAAGGGTCATGATTCTGAGAGCCCCTAAATTCCATAACCCTACCGCTCTGAGATCCTAGGATTCATAGAGACTGAGTCCCACATTCTTTTGGCTTCATGATGCTTTTCTTTGGTGAAGCCAACATTGGAGGCTCCCTGAGATGTCAACGATCTTAAGGGTGCAAAGATGGAGGTGTGTGCATGAGGCCTGCCCCATGAGGTGTGTGCAAGCCCAGCCCTGGGCTTGTCCTGGGCCCCCGCCCTGCCCAGCCCAGCCCGTCCCTTACCCGGATCTTGATTTCTGGATTCTCCAGGTAGATGTCCCTCTCGGCCATCAGGTAGCTGTTGGCAGCCGGCTCGATGAGGAGGCCCCGTACCTTGATGAGGTTCGACTCCGTCAGGCAGTCACAGTACTTCTCATAGAGGATTCGAAGGGGAATGCTCTTCTCTGCAGGGAGAGCGGGGAGAGTACACGTAACAGCTCAGTCATGCCCCCCCCCCTCCTCCTCTGGCATCTCCACAAGGCGCAGAGAATGGAGAGAATGCACTGGAGCTCACACAGCTGGTGAATGGCTAGGCCAGACCCCAGGCCGTTCCCCCACCTGCCTCAGCTCTAGGTTTTCCAGGGAGGGGCTGGAGGGGAGGCAGCACAGCTGATAGGGGAAGTGCTGAACACCAACAGGCCAGGGTTCAAATCTTGCCTCCACCCTTTGCTAACTGGTAATGCTGGGCAAGTCATTCCACTCTCAGGACCTCAGTCCACCCCGCCCCTCCCCCAACTCCCCGCTTTTAAGGTTGGTAAGATTGTACCCATTTTACAGATGAAGAAACACTTCTGCCAGTAAGTGCTCAGATCGGGAGACCTGGCCCTGCTTGGCCACTGACTGGCTGTGTGAGCCTGGGAAGATGACCCCCCCCGCCCCCCGTTTTTCCTGTTCCTCCTCTGTTCTGTTTCCCCAGACAATCGGCACCCTGACACACTGGCAAAGTTAAGAGCAGAGGTTATTTCAGAGCAAACGCCACACAGTGAAGGGGGAGTGAGAAAAAAGGCAACAGGGCCAACCCTGTCCACTGCAGAGAAACGCAATGTGACTTTTTAGACCCATTTTTCTGACAAGAACACTGAGGCCCAGAGGCACCAGGGGTCTGCCTGTAGGAGGCAGGAAGGAGCAGTGAAAAGAGCACAGGACTGAGACTCTGCAGGCCTGTGCCAGGCCCTGCTTGTCCACTTGGTCACAGAGAAACTTGGGCAAATCCCTCTGCTGCTTCTCAGCCTCCCCTGTCAAACAAGAGCCCTGGAGGGACAGTTTTTAGGATCCCTGGGGCCCAGCTAACCTCTTGTCATCATCCCAGTGCCATGACAGGAGAGGCTGCTGCCTCTTTTTCTGCCACCTGTCCTCTCCCTACCTGTACTAGACCAACGTCTCCCAAACTCCAGCCATTCACACGATTGTTCGCACATCTGAATCTATCCTCATTATCTGCTCATCATTTTTCTTTCAGTCCCCACACTTGATTCTTTGTAACCTTTGTTGCTTAGGGAGATTTTTCATCCTTATTCCCAGCAAACTCGTCTTATGTCCCATACATAAAAGGTAACCGGTAAAAATAAATACAAGCAAAGTCCTGCTTTTTCAATTCGGTGACATAGTCTTGCCTGCTGTGAGCTCTGACTTGGAAACCTGAGCTTGCTGTTAGAAGAGGGAGATTAGCAAGGGTTAGGGATGCTAAGACCAATGAACACCCACTGAGCTGTCCCCATGAGGTCATTTGAAGGACTGTGAAGACCTAAGAGACAGTCCCTTTCTTACCATGTGAGTCAAGGGCTAGACCCTGGTGGGCACGCGATGGTCCACGTCCCACCCTTTGGAAAAGGCTGCATTCGTGTGCCCAGCCCTGTAGCCGTTCATTCCCAGGGTGGATCTGGGACTAGATGACGTGGGGGGAAGAAAACCAAATCTTCTGCCAAAAGGGACAAAAAGGAGTGAAAATTCCTGGGTCAGGGCCTGGTGGGGCAGAGTGGAAACTCTGACCCGCTCCACAGGAAAGAAAGAGAACATTATCCTCCAGGAGTTTGGAGGACATGGCCCTAACTGTTGACTTTTCCAGGAGGCTGAAACAGGGTGGGGCTGAACCTTTGAGAACTGCTTTCTGCTGGCCTGAACCACAGCCTTGGCCTTGGGCCACATGCTGGCTGAGATGAGGAAATGTGTACGGTCAGTTTCAGTCATTCTTTAAATGGTTTTCCCTGTTCTGGAAGATGCCGTGGGTGTGATCCCCAAGGCCACGCTGGCTGCATTCCTGGTGACCCACCTGGAGGAGTAAAGGAGGAGAGAAACAAAGGGTGGGGGCAGGAAGGGGAAGGGAGGGGGCAACTGGATTCTGTTCAGCTGTCCTAGGCCTGGCTTCCTGTCCACCAGCACATGGAAATCCCCCAAAGATTAATAAGCAACTCAGGCAAAGTCTAAGGGGTCTCCAAGGGTGAAAGAATCTATCTGAGGTTGAGCTTGGCATTGGAGCTTGGCATAGTCACCCAGCACTAGCTCTGCCTTGCAGCCTGAAGGTAGCACACAGGACCTCTGCCCTCTCTCTCCCTGTAGGCTGTGTCCCTGGTGGGTTGATGACACAGCAGGGGGGACCCCTCTGTGGTGAGCACAGAATGATACTCCAGGGACCTGATGGTATCTGGGAGGCAAAGGGTGACTTAGCAGAGGCCTGGGAGGAAGTTATTCTGCCATCATTGGCCCAAGCTGAAGTTCACTTCATGCCACACATTCCAAGAAGGACACTTCCTCCCTTTGAAGCGGTTCCGACCATGAGAAGGAACCGACACATGAGCATTCACATGAAGAGGGTGGAAGGGCTCTACAAAGAGGATCCAGCCTGTGTACTAACGGGGAACCTGAGGCCTGGGATGGAGAAGAGAAATAGCCTGTTGACAGAATTGCTGGAACTAGAACTTGGGTGTCCTGCCCATCCCACACACCCGCAGGGATGGGCCCCCGCTCCTGATGCTTGGAGGCCTGGATGCAGAGGTGTGAGCTGGGTCTTTCCATGCCATCAAGGTTGGCAGGGACTCAGGCACCACTGAGCCCAGCACTGAGCCCACGGCTTGGCACAGCGAGTGTCCAGGAAAGGTCCACGGGGCTTCTCGGCCTCCGCATGCCTCTTTGCACACCTGCTCAGCAAGGACTGAAGAGCCCCACCATGTCCAGGCACCACTTTACACTTTCCAGACACCCCCTCCCCCGCCGAGTACACGTGTGTCCCTTCAGTCCTCACACCTCACATGGGTGCGCTGCTGTCCCATTTAATGGATGAGTATGATTTGAGGCTCAGAGAGCATGTTCGTGCCGCCCAAGGTTGTACTTTTAGCAGATGGTAGAGGCCAGATTCAAAACCAGCCTGGCTGGCCTCAAAACAGACCGTTCAACAGTGTAAGTGTTGGGGCCCCAGCCCTGATGCCAAGTGGCTGCTCCTGAGGGCTTAGCCCTTGCTCAGGGACCCTAACAGAAGATCTGCTCTGGGTGTGTGGTTCCAGGGGTGCCCATGTGGGCCCGAGACAGGAAAGCCAGGAGGTGACACTGTCCATACCACAGGCCCCCTGCCTGAAACAGACAGGACTTCTTAGGCACTGGAAGGCTGTGCCCCACGTGCCAGCCCATGGGGCCAAGGGCCAAGGCAGAGGTCATGAAAAAGAGGAAACATTATGGGTGACAGGCAAGAGTAGAGGGGAGGACCAACAGCTTTCGTAAACACAGAGCACTCCATGCCCTGGGCCTCGCCACCAGCTCTGTGTATTAGCATACTGGTTCCCAGGTATTACGTGCCAACGGTATGCATGGCCTCTTCCCTGCCAGACAGTCCTGAATTGTCAGGTCATGACTTCCATGTGCCTGATGGGGACACTGAGGTTGAGGGAGGCAGCCATCCGCCTAGGCGACACAGCGAGCGGGACCCTCAGAGGACGTTTTCACTGCCTTCCTCATGCCTGCAGCCTTCCAGTGCAGAAGACAGGATTGGGCTGCTGGGGGGGCGGGGGACGGGACAGTGGGGAAGACCAGACTCTGCGCTGCCTCACTAAGCAACAACACGGTATAGTTGCTAAAACGATAGGTTCAAGTCTCAGTCCTGTCACTTCCTAACTGTGTGGCCTTGGGAAAGTTACTTAACCTTTCTGTGCTTCGTCTTCTCATCTGGAAAATGGGGGCAATAAAAGGCTCCACCTCCCACCTTTGTTATAAGAATTAAATGGGTTGATATTTATAAAGCGATTAGGACAGGGCCTGACCCAGAATAAGTGCGAGTGTCTGTCTGTGAGGTAAATTGCACACATTGAGAGCTCACAGCACCACCTAGCATGTCAATCAGTGGTCAACAACGAACCCAGGAAAGCAGGGCCTTACCGGAGTAGGGCTCCAGGGTAAGATCGGACAGGTCCTCGGTGCCACACTCGGGCCCCAGGATTCCGTTGTAGCTGACAGTGCGAGCACAGAGCAGGAGGCGGCAGGTGTGGTCCTCGGCGGTGTTATTGGTGATGTGAGCGAAGACATCGAAGTCAGTGCCCATTGCCATGCTCTGGCCCACACGGATCCGCATGGCTATCCCCGTCTCCTCTTTCTCAGCCAGCTTGTTCAGGTGATTGGCCCTCTTGAAGGCTTCCCTCTCCTCTGGGGACCCTGTGGGGAGAGGGAAGAGAGCTTCATGGCTAGAACCTATTCCAGTGAGAGGGAGGCTGGGGCAGGGAGAGCTGGCTTTTCCTGGTGACTCAGATCAGCCCCAAATGAGCCCCTTTTCTACATTTCTGTGCCAGAGGAGGAAAGAATATTTTCTTTACTTTCCACAAGTGAACTCGTACACATCCCTCAAGACCCAGCCCCCTATGATCCCTCCTCCAGGAAGCCTTCTTGACCACTCCTTCCCCATGATGAATGTATCACAATGTTTTCTGGAATTTCATAGTGGCCTATAGCCTGTCATGTTCTTTTTATTTAGCTCCCCAAATTGTTTTCTGTTTATGTGCTTACGCTCTTGAGCTGCTTAAGGACTAAGACTGTGTTTACTTATCTTTAAGTCATACCCAATGCCTACAACAGTGCTTGGTACATAGTAAGCACTGATACAATACAAACTTTCTCGCCTGCACAGGGATTATGTCTCCTTGAATTCCTTTCCCTCCCCTCCCTAACCTGTGGAGCTCTCAAGCAGGAATGGCTGTCCCACTTTTAGGCTCTGTTCACCTCTCTCTTATGCTCCTTTTATTTTTTATTTTTTCCCAGGTGTTACTAGGCACATATCTATTTCTTCTATCAAACCATTCGCTCTAGACCTTTCAGAGGCCAGGGAAAGCACCTTTTCCTTCTGTTTTGTCCCTTCCACCTACACCATGGCCACGAAATAGCCAACCCCCAGTCAGCCCTGGAAAGTCAGTGCGGGTCAGAGGTGGGCAGGGGCTATGGTTTCGTAGTCGTCTCTGTGAGCCCCACTGTGCTTGGTACACGGTAGATGCTTAGAAAACATCTATCGAATTGTATTGGCTGTTGGATGTGTTCACATCCAATTTAAAAAATAAGCCACGTCGTATTTTCTCCTACTGGTTTAACATTAGTAGCAGAAAGAAGCCTCATCTTTGTGTCTGATTGAATCCATCTAATCTTGAAGTTTCTCTCGGTCCATTTCTTTTTCATTTAACCCTTCCTCATCCACCTGCATGCTTACTTCCTCAGCTATATGGGAGATACTGCAAAAATAAACACAGCTACGTTGCATCAAGGAGGGTGCAAGCCTCTCCAGGGTCTCTCGGGATTTCCAAGCCTCCAGGGTCCCTCGGGATTTCCAAGCCTCTCTAGTACAAATACGTCACAATAAAAAAGCATGGCATTGTCCATCTGCAGCTGTAGGTCCCACTCTGTTAATACACATCATTAATTTTTCTGTTGCATGCCTCTCCTATGTAACAGCCATCCCCTTCAGTTTGATTGAGTCAAACCAACCAAAAAAGTGAGGCTTAAAAACCAAATGGAATCCTTTTGTAGAATACAGAATTCTTTTCCTAAATGAACAATGCTCTACCCTTGTCTTCTAGTGTGTGTGGTACATTTGCAACTATTTCTAAGGAATTTCCTAGAATGAAGAGTAACTTACGGGTCTGGTTGTGTGCAGGCTGCCAAATAAAACACACACACACACACACACACACATGCACGCACACATGCACACGTGCACACAAGCACACGTGCACACATGCACACGTGCACACGCGTGCACGCCCACTGGGCTGGTAAAATGGGCGGCTTATCTGCAAGGCAGCGCGGAAAGCTCTGAGCAAGTGGTGCACCCACCCTCTGGGTACTTGTAGTTGTGGGTAATGTCCTCCCGCTCGTCACGGCCCACGCGCTTGGTGCTGATCTTCAGCCCCACAACCATGGAGCTGTTGACGGACTTGTGCACGGACCCATCCTCCTGCTGGATCCAGCTCACCACATCGGCATTGACCTCCGCGAAGACAAAAGGCGCGTCGTACTTGGTGCTCAGGTCACCTTCCTTGATGGCACGCACTGGAACCGGGCCACAGCAGTATGTCCCTGGTTGGAGGAAGGAGGAAAGAGAGACAGGCCTGGGCTGAGGGGAGGGCGGCACCCGCCAAAGCCGTCTGCAGTTCAACCACACATGGCAAAAAATCTTGAGACTATACAGACCTTTGATTTAGGGACTCCACTTCTAGGAAGGTAGCATCGGGTAAGCATTAAGGATGGAGACTTTGAAGCCCAACCTTTAGGGTTCCAGTCTCAACTCTGCCTCTTATTAGCTGTGTGACCTTGGGGTTGTTGCTTAACTTCTCTGAGCCTCAGTTTCCTCTGGCGACGATATTTGTACTTACACAATGAGGATTTGCATATACTAGCTAGCTGTTCTGTAAGTGATAACTAAGGCAGAAGAATACCCCAAGGCCTCCTAAGGAACTGAGGGAGCCAGGCAGTAGGCAGTGCGTGCTTCAGAAGGCAGTGTATCTGTCTTATTTTTTGCCCATGGGGAGAGTTGCCCTTAGGGCTGGACATACACTCAGTGTGGTTTACAATGGCCTCAAACTAGTCACAAATTTAAAAGCTGAGGACTAGAGGCTGGATAGCGATATTCCGGTGCATCCATTGGATGGAACACCGGAACACTAAATTAACATTCAAATCACAGAACACTGCCTGATAGAGAAATGCTAATGGCATATGGAGAAGTGACAGAGCCAGCAAAAAAGCCCACATGCAGCCAGAGTTCTTTACTCAGGGTCCACGGACTCCCCCAAGGCACAGCAAATAGAATCCAGAGGTCCATGAACTTGGATGGGAAAAAAAAACTTACACGTTTATTTTCACTGTACTTTGGTAGCACTTCCTTTGATTGTGAAAGCCAGACGCAAACCGTAGTCTTAGGCGCACTGTGACTCATCGCCCATAAAAACCATGGATACTTTCATATCCCTTTATTAGTTGTCCCAGATATTAGTTGGAGATATCACGTAGGCCCATCTCTACCACCACATTGTCAAATTTATTAGTTCTACCACTAGATCTTTTTACGTAAAGGGTATATTATTATATCACATATGTATTAAAAAATTTTTTTTGATAGCTATATTTCAATGTAACTAGTTTCCTTTGTAACCCTAGGTATTATAGCCTATGAATTTAAAAATATTATTCTGAGAAAGGAGTCATTTGGCTTCACTAAATGAAAGACAAATACGAACGAGTATATAATTGCAAATGACTGGAAGCTGTGTGCGAACGTCAGTGATCCTTTTGAAGGGAGAGGACAAAGATGCGATTTAGTTTTTTTCTTTGTGCTTCTCCTTATTTTTCTGTTTTCCACAATGGGCGTGAATGAATTTGAAATGATAAAGAAGCATATTATAAATTACCCGTGAGGTCCCTCCCACGCGGGTGTGGACCAGCCAATCAATGGCCTTGGGAGTCAGCCAGACCTGGGTTAGAATGCCAGCCTTGCGATCTCTAGCTGAGGGACTCTGGGTGAGTGCTCTGTGAGCCTCAGTTTCCTCATCTAGGTAAGGGGGCCATGCGACTCACCTTCACTCTTCTCTTGGGGCGTGGGGTCGATGGCCTGCCACCCCTCGTACCCCCGTTTCAGGTCTGGCCTGGTCATCCACGACTCCACCCAGCAGTGGAAATTCCTGTTGGGAAAGGAAGCAGGCTGTTAGCCAGGACTCAAACTGAGACATTCAGCTGCCTCCCCCGACAGTCCACGCGCCTTGTCCTAAGCTGAGCTCAGCATGGTCCCCTGACACTCCTCGTTGTTGCTGTTCTCCCTGGAGGCCCTAGCCAGGTGCTCACTCCTGCGCTGGGAGTCATTCTCAGTGCCTCTCCTGCCTCTCTCCCATTTCAGTGGCTCCCCAAGTCTCACCGATGTGACCGACTCATTTCTCAGCCCTGTCTCTTTTCCAGTGCTTTAGATCTCCTCACCACCTGCCCAGGTCACACCCCAACCCCCACCTCCAATCTCTCCCCTGCAGGCTGCCTGTTCCGAGCTTGTCAGCATGTCTCTTTCCCAGTTGGAAGCCTTTGGGGATCACTGGAAACCCAGGCCCCCCACCAGACTCCCAGCAACATATTCTCTCGAATGCCCTTTCATGCATTTGTGCACTGCCTTTCCCTCCTTTTGGCCTTGGTTTATGCTGTCCGTCCCCGCCTGGAGAACCCTCCCCAAGGCCTGTTTCCCCTTGTCCAAATATTGTTGAACTTTTAAACCCAATTCAAGTGAAACCTCCTCTGAGAAGTCTTCCCAGGGACCCTCCCCACCGGCCCCTACTCCAGACCTTGGGCCTCATCTCACCATATCATCTCGCTCCTCTTACGCTGGAACGCCCCATACTCGTCGTAAAAGTACTCGATGACCAGGTTGCTGTTCTGGTCATGGGCCGAGTTATAGTTGGTCACGACTCGGGTGGGGATACCGAGGCACCGAAGCACTGGGGATGGGGGTGGGGTGCGATGGAGAGAGGGGTTAGGGGTGAAGATGAGGATCTCAAGGTGTCTGCCCTGCTTTGGGCCTCCACATGCTCATATGCACCCCAGTGAGCACTGGACCCACTGTCCAGCTGGTAAGGGTGTGTGTCATCCTCTTACCTGGACAATGGTGCCCACCTTACTGGTCGCCCCATGACCACGCTGTCCCCCTCCCATCACAGCTGACGGAAGAAGACTACAATGCAAATCTGGCACCAACACTCCTTGGCTAACCCTTCAATGGCGCCCCATGGCCCTTGAGGTCAAGGCCAGACCTCCCACTGTGGTCCCTTGGCCCTGCAGGGTCAAGGCCCTGACCTCCTCCTGCACGTTGCTCCAGCCACATTGGCCTTCTCTCTGTTCCTCCAGAAAGTCACACTCCCACCGGTCACTGGGCATTGGCGTTTACCGTTCACTCTGCCAGAAACGCCACCCTCCCAGGCTTAGATTGCCTCATCGTTTGCATTCATAGTAAGACTAGCGATTCACCATCGTTCTCAGCATACAGGCAGGCGAGGGGTTCTTTACTCAGTCCTCTGAGAGCAGTGATGGAACCTGTCTTATTTAATATCGCCAGAGCCCGGCACAGGCCTGGCACAGACCATGTTGTCAAATGGGGTGAAGGTGTGGGCAGGGAACAGAGGTCAGGAGACCTTCCATTCAAGCCCCAGCTGTGTGACCTAGGGCCAGTCCCTTCACCTATCTGGGCCTTGTGTCCTCTTCTGGAAAATGGGGTCAGGGTACAGGTGCAGTGTCATAAGATGTATTGGGACACCATGGTGGGTGGGGGCGGGCCCTGCATTCACGCCAAAGCACCGTTTACAGAGAGGTTTACACCATAGTAACTGGGGAAAGGGGCTGTTGTTGCAATGACAGGTGAGAAAGAGACGGGATGAACTGGGAAGAGGAAAACCCTGGGCACGTATCTTGCGCAAATGGCGGTGCTGGGTGCTCCTGGCAGATGGAATTATGGGTGCTTTGACTCCCTCACTTTTTAAAGTATATTTACAGTATATTACGGTAGGAGTAACCTAGTCTCAAGGTTGGATAAAGAAAGTAAATATCTAAAACAGGAAGTGAAACAAAAAAGCCCTATTCAGTGTAACCTATAGGACTTTTGTTTCACTTTTAGTTTGGACTGGGGTTGAGTCTCTGAGTCATGGGGAACGGCAGGGATGTGCCCTTTGTCCACCATGAACCAGGGCAAGAGCTTCCCAGATGGCCCTGGATTCTGGCCAGAAGTGTGGGCACAGGAAGAAGCAGCTATGAGTCTCCACCTCTTGCCTGGTTCCTGTGCCCTGAGGCCGGGGCAGAGTCTCAACTCTTGGCTGCCCTGAGCGAAGGCAGGCGTTTCAACCCCAGTCTCTGCCCTGCCATGCCAACAGCCTCCTGTCCCCACTGTCCAAGGAGCAAGGTACCACTCCTGTCCCAGGGATGGTGCCCCAGGGAGCCTCATCGTCACAGCCTAAGGCCAGGAGGCTGCCCCAGAACCAAGTACACCTGGTTGCCAGCCCAGCTGTGCTGCTCACCAGCTGTGTGACCTTGGGCAAACCACTTCCCCTGTCTGGGCCTCTGTTTCCTCCTCTAAGTGGAGCTAAGAATAGCAACTTGCTGGGACGTTGTGATGATTCAGAGAGGCACTGGGTGTGGGGCAGTCTTGTCTGCCCAGTGAGTGCCCAGGGTGGAACAGCAAAGTGTGTCACAATGCCCATCGCTGCAAATGTCTGTCTAGGCAGTGTTCACCAACTTGCAGACATTGAGAAAATGCTCCAGGATCCAGCTGAGGTCACAGCTTCCCTCAGCATCCCCCAACCCAAACCAAACCTGAACCAGAGACTGTGCTAATGGACACCTCCCCAGGGTTTACAAGTTCCCTTACAAGTGAATTAGGTGGGTCATCACTGTTTCCATTCTACAGGTGAGGAAACTGAGTCTTTGAGGCACCAATTCTCTTGCTCAAGGCTTTGGAGGCAGAGCTGGGATCAAGCAGGCAGTCTGACACCGGCGTCCATGGACCAATGCACACCACCTGGCTTCCTGAAGAAACCCTGGGGCCAAGGAGGTCAGACGGCCCCTCGTTTGACCAAGTTTTCCGTGGCTCCATTACATGCCAGGCCTGGGAGGAGGCTGCAAGAACCCTGACTCAGCCCTGGCCTTGGGAAGAGGACAGTCAAGGGTAAGATCTGCAGCTAAACCTATAAGTGGCCACAGCTCAGGGTGAAGAAGGAATCTGCAGGGGAGCTTGGGGACCCAGACTATGGATGGTGGGGCTTCTCTAGGAAACCCATGGAGTTCTCTGAGCAAACATGTTTTAGGGCCCTCAGAGAGAAGGACCTAGGATGGGAGACTTTCCATGAGAAAGAGGAAGTCAGAGGTCACAGGGGGCAGAAGACACAGGGTAGAGTGGTGACAGGCAAGAGACAGTCTGGCTGGGAACTGGGGCCAAGCTATCCCTACCCTGCCTGCTCATGTGGAGAACAGTGCTGGGGCTCTTGAAGACCCTTCTCTGGGCCTGAGCACTGGTCTTGGAGTCAGAAAAGTGGGGAACCTGAGATAAGCTTCTTAGATTTCCTGAGCCCAATAATAATAATAATAATAATGATAATAATAATAATAATATTAGTAATAAGCAGCAGCGCTATATAAATATTTGCTGTTAGGCACCTGCAAACATTTTAAACATTTCACATATGTTACCTTATTTAATCCTTACAACCACCCCAGGCTAAAGGCACTATTATGCCCGTTTTACATATAATAGAATTGAGGCTCAGAGGAGTTAAGTGATTTACCCAAAGGCACACAAATTTGGTAAGAAGCAGACCTGGGGTTTGCGTTCCAGCCTTGACTCCAGATTCTGTGTTTCCAACGGGTATGTGAGACTAACCCATTCTCCTAAACATCATCATCTGCCCTGGAATCACCTTCCGCCTTTTTCTGGGCTCAAATTTTCAAGATATTTGAGAGACTTATTTCCCTCTTTTGGTTTTAAATTGCTTTATCTTTTCCTCCTCCGCATTTTAGAAAGTCCTTTCTCTATTGACATCAATGATAATATTATTATCAAGTTATTAATAGGCCATACTTAGTAAGAGCTACACTGGGTCAAGTTCCGTGACACCCAGCAGCTTTATGTGACACCCACCCTAGAAGGTAGGTCTTGTTGTCCCCCCTTCTACCTCTGAGAAAACTGAGGTTCAGAAAGAAGTCATATGCTCAAGGTCACAGAGCAAGGTGAGTGGAAGAGTGGGGATTTTAATTCAGGTGTGCCTGGCTCCAAAGCCCATATTTTCAACCCTGAGCCCGCACTGCCTCCCAAATGACATCCCTTGATCCTAACAACCACCTCATGGATAGTTGCTAGAAAAAGGAACAGAGAGAAGCGGCCACCGGCTCCAGGCCAAGCAATATATCGGTGGCTTTGGTGGCAGAGGCAGGGCCAGACCTGGGGTCTCTTTGTTCCCGCTCCGGCACTCTCTGTGCTTCCCTCCCAGGGTTCACGGAGCTGAGAGAAGGTTCCAGGTCCTTCCCACACCTCAGCGTGCAGCTCACCTGTGCAGGCCACGGCGGCGAAGACCCAGCACTGGCCGTACTTGACATTCTGGCAGCCGTAGCTCTTCCAGCGCCTCAGGATGTCCACACTGCTGATCCAGAACATGGGGCTGATGCCATCCTGGTAGTTGTTGTCCCAGCGCCCAAACAGCACACCCTTGTCGTCATTGCAGTTGACCTGCAAGCAACAGGACATCAGGGGGACCAAGTCTGGGGAGAAGGGGGGGGGGTGGCTGTGCCAGGCTGAGCATGAGTTCAGCAGGTGGTGAAAAGCAGGGAAGGGAGGTCCAGGATTAGGGAACAGCAGGGGCAAAGGTACCAAGGCGTGACAGGCTGTGGGACATCAGCGATGTCTGGGGCTGGAGCGCCGGGTGCTTGAAAGAGAAGGGGAAAGGAGGCCGTGGAGAGGTCATGAAAGCGATGTTGGAGATGTTGGAGATGTGTCTGCGGGATGGCAGGAGAATGACAAGGTGGGATCTGAGTTGTACAAAGACCCGTTCTGGCCCCTGCCCAGATAGCGTCGTTCCCCCCAACTCCCATCCCCTCAAGAATAAAATCCAGCCTCCTGACCGCGACCCACAAGGTCTGCGTGGTCTGGCCCCTGCCCACGTCTGCAGCCCCACTTGCACCCTGCTCCCCCTTGTTCACTCCACCCCTGCCCCCCTATACTGGCCTCCCTTCTGCTCCTCAAACCGGCCCAATTCGGTCCCTCTTCAGGCGCTTTGCACAGCCTGTACCCTCTGCCTGCAATGTTCTCCTCTTAGTTATTACACCAGCTCAGGGATTATCACTTAGGGAGGTTCCTCCTCCCCCCCACCACTGAGTTTAGGCACATCTGGGCTCCTTCAGCGCCTACATCATTATTTATGACTGTGCACCCATTTACATGACATTTTGGTTAATGTCTGTCCCCTCCCACTACAACATAAGCTCTAGGAAGTTAGAGACCACACATGTCTTATACCAGCTGTTTCCCCAGTGCCTAGGACATAGTGGTACTTGATAAATATTTGCTGAATGAATGAATGAATGAATGAATGAATGAATGAATTGCTTTGAGGGATCACATGGTATTACCCTCATTTGGGTAAACCTTGTCTTTCTAAATAGAAGCTCTCTTAGCTGAGACGTGTCCATTTCCTGGGTCTCCCCGCACCGTGCCCTGTCACGGGCCCCTGGGGTGGGCCTTGCCACTCACCATGGCGCTCACCACTCGGCCCACATAGATGGGGCTGCTGCGGCGGGAGCAGTCACGGCCACCGTTTTTCAGGAACTTGGGGTTGACGTCCAGGAGCATCAGGCAGATGTCCAGGATCCCGTCTTCAAACTATGTCAGAGGAAACAAGAGGAGGATGGGGGGGTCACCTCCTCCAGGGAGCCCGCCTTGAAGCCCAGCAGCTGTAGGACCTCTCTACTCGGTTTCACACACCAGACAGGGAGGCTCAGGCTGGGTCTGCCCCATCTCTGTGATGTCAGCTTCCCCTGGCCCGGGAGCTGGTAGGGTGGGACAAAGACTGAGTGTGTGAGAAAAGAAAAAGGGGTGTGCTTGCACCAAGGTTGTGGGAATTTGGAGTACAGGCTCCAGAGTGAGGAGCCCAGCATTCCCAGGACTTCCAGGCCCTGGCGCTGTCCCTGTCCCCTCTCTGCTCACCCAAATCTCCCACATCCCCTAAAGCCTGACTCACCCTGCACGGTTGATGAGTGTCACCTCCTCCCCCACCTCCCCACCACACACTGCTCTGATTAGAGATGAGGCAGATTATAAAGACATAAATCTAATCTCACTACCTTTCTTATTTCCACTATAATCAGAGTAAACTCGTAGACTTTCCCCTGTGGCCTGCAAGGCCCTTCATGATCGGGGTCCACCCCCCTGTTTCGCCTCACCTGGTCTCTCACTACTCGCGCACACACTTGCTCTGCCCCAGGCTCGCTGCCTCAGGGTCTTTGCACTTGCTATTTCCTTTGCTTGGAATGTTCTTCCTACCACTCTCCATCTGGCTCACACCTTTTCATCCTTGTGACTCAAATGTTATCTTTATCAACAGTAGAGCCCCCCTCCACGTCACCTTCCATTGGCTCACCCATCTGTCCTGTTCAAAGGCACTTCCACCTGCCCCATGCTCCCCATCTCTGTGGTCTTGTCCCAAGCTAGTCCCTCCATGCTGCAGAACAGCCCTCCGTGGCTTGAAACCTTTTGTGGCTCCCTGTGACCATCAGCCTGACATTCGGGGCTGTTTACAACCTGGACACTGCGGACTTCTCCCACTTCTCCTGGAGCTCTTTCGTATATGAATACGGTGCTTCCCAAGCTACCACATTCTTCTTAGGCGTATATTTTCCCTCCTCCTAGCTTTTGCTCATGTAATTCCCTTTGCCTAGTAGACCATGCATCCACTTCCTTCACAGCTCAGCCCAAATCATGCCTGTTTCAGGAACTTCCCTGAAAGTCCAGGATCTTTATGCCTTAAGATCCTGGATTGTGATGATTTCTGGGAGTTTTGCAGGGGCCATGGCCCATGGCCCAGTGCAGCCTGGACACAGAACAGGAACTAAGGAAATGAAAGGTGACCTTGGCTTTGTTCTGTTTCTCAGGGGAGAATACAGAGCCTGGGACTCAAGAACCAATTCAATCTTGGGTATATTTTATGTATCTTGGTCACACCATCATTTCATTTATATCTCACAACAGGCTACAGGGTTTCCGGGCAGATATTTTTACAATGATTACCCCCACTATTCAGATGAGAAAACCGAGGCCAGAGTCCCAGATCACACAGGGAGAACTTTCCTGTGGTCCCAGGGTACACCTGAGCACGGACTCTGCTGCAGGGAATGCTAGAGGTATCTCAAGGTGAACCCCACCCTGGCAGGCCAACTCCCACTAACAATCTAGGAGGTGTGATGGTTCTTGCTTCATGACTTTTCTTAGCAATGCCTCAGGAATTTTTAAGGGAGGCTGGATGGTAGCGGGAATCAGAGCATTGGTTTGGAGAACAAGCCCAGACTGGCCTGCTGGATAACGAGGAACCACATGGAGCCAAGAGGAGCCCTCCAGCTGAGGTCAGCCAGGCCCAGCCTAGATGGCCCGTGCCCCGGCTGACCCAGAGACTTCTGAGAAATAACACATGAGGGTTGTTTTGTGTCTCTAAGGTTCGGGCTTGTTTGTTTGTTTTTTGTTGTTGTTGTTGTTGTTGTTGTTTTTTTTTAGCTGAGCCATCCTGCTACCTGTTGGCAGCTCAGCGGCTGCTCAGCTCGGGCTGGACTCGAACCGCTGTTGCTCAGAGCTCAAACTCTTGAGCGAGCTCTTAACCAACTGAGCCACTCAGCCGGCCTGCGGGCTTGTTTGTTACTCAGCAGTAGCTAATAGATAACAACCAGACCAGTGGTTTTCAAAGTATGGATGCTGGATCAGAAACATCAGCATCACCTGGGAACTTGTTAAAAATGCAGATTCTCAGCCCAGACCCAGACCCACTGAATCAGGAACTAGGGGGAGACCCAGTGGTCTGTGTTTTACACACTCTCCAAATGCTGCCTATCATTCTGATATATGACCTTGAATGTTCCCCTTCTCCTTCCCGTTGCACCTGCCAGCCCACAACTCCCAATGGCTCTCCTGATTCTTTTCCACCTTGAATGCCTGGGGCTGCTGCTCCCATAGTGGGTAGGGCGACGCTTTGCTGTGTGACCTCAGGCTTAGCCTGGTTCCTCTCTGAGCCCCCAGCCATTTCAGGAACCTTGAATCCTGACAGCCTGGGGTGGGTGACCCCGAGACCTGCTCACACCTTTGTAGCTTTGACTGCCTCAGACCCAGAGCACGGCACACAGTGGGCCTGAGATGGTTGAGAGGGTCAGGGTGTGGCCCTACCTGCCCAAAGTTCCAAGGTATGCTGTTTATGAACTTGGCTGAACCCTGGTAGATGAAGCCGTGCTGGGTTAGGACGTACTCCTGCCGCTCCGCTTCGGAGTCCAGGTACACAGCATCCGCTATGGGTGAGAAGGAAGGAAACTCAGCTCTGGGTCTGGCAAGGCCCAGAGTCTCCGCAGACATGGCAGCTGGGGTGCCAAACTCCCCAGGGCCAGGTTGGCGTCTCAGGGGCCTTTTTATCTTTTAATCAGAAAAGCAGATCATTAATTAGTAATACTCTGTCAACAACATAAGATGTTATCAGTTAGTGACAACAATGCCTGCCTTTTATCCAACCCTGGTCACGTGCCAGGATTTGTGGTAAGTGTGTGGCATATATTAACTTGCCTTTTCTCCGCAAAAGCCCTATGTCCAAGGGATCCATGAAAGCCCCATTTTACAGATGGGAAAACTGGTGCCATAACAAGAAACAGAGGAACCCTGGACAGGCGTTAGAGCCCTCTAGCTCTGATCCCCACTTGCTGTGTGACCCTGGGCAGGGCGATTCTCCTTCTCTGCCCACCTCTCCGTGTTCCCTGTGAGTCAAATGTGACTGCAGATCTGAAAGATGCTTTGCAAGCTGAAGCCCTGAGTCAGCATGATTCAGGGTGGAGAGAAAGCCAAGAAAGGGTGACTGGGACCTTGGGGAGGTGGGGTCTTGTCTACCTGGGAGGTCAGGGAGAGCCACCTGGAGCAGGTGGCACCTGATGCCTTGATGACCTTCTAAGAAGAGGACCAGAGACTGCAAAAGTACAGCTGCTGGAAAATGCAGGGCACTTAGTTCCCTGTGACTAGTAAGGACAGAAAGGAGGGCTGGGGTCGTTGGGACCAGATGGCAGCAGGTGAAAGGTCAGGCTAACCTTTACCAGCCCTACTTCGCAGGTGAAGAAACGGAGGCTGAGAAGGGGATATTGAGAGCCATGTTATGCCTTTGCTGGGCCCTGGGCATTTTTGCTTCCATGGGCCCTTTCCTCCATCAAAAAAGATATTAAAATTATATTTTATGACTGCATTGGTATAATGATTAATATTATTATTACATATTATATTATTTAATATTACATATTAAAACATTCTCGGGTCTAAATATCTTTTTCCTTCTGATTTTAAAAGAAATTAACACATTTTCATGGACCCCTAAAAGTATGGTGGGCCCAGGTGCTGTACCTAGTGAAGTCAGCTTGCAAAGTCCATCCAGAGACCGGCAAAGGTGAGCCTAGATTGCAGCTGCCCAGGCCCCTTGGGCCCCTGGGCTCTGCGAGGTCCATCTGCAGTGACCAACACCACCCCATTCTTATTGCATGGAGGGAGGTGGATGTGAAAGCGGTCGGGTGTCTTATGTATCCTGCTCTTTGGTTCTGGAAACTATGCAGTAAACACTAGCCTTATGGAGGTGGCTGGTTAGCCTAGGCAGTTAGAGCGCAGGCTCATAACACCAAGGTTGCCGGTTCGATTCCCACATGGGCCAAGGAGCTGCGCCCTCCACAACTAGACTGAAACAACCACTTGACTTGGAGCTGATGGGTCCTGGAAAAACACACTGTTCCCCAATAAAATTTCTTTTAAAAAACAAACAAACAAAAAGCAACAACAAAACTAGCCTTATGATAAATGAACTTCCATGGTTATAAATTAGCCGGCAGTGTGGAAGAAAGAATGAAAGGGAAGGAAAAACCCACGATGTTCCCCTGTTGGAGTCAGAGTGTCAGCACCCTGGGACTTCCGTCCTCAGCTCAGGTGTCTTTCTGGTAAAGGTAGGGACACTGGGGACAGAAGCCTCCTACATGACGGGCATTCGATCCTGTCCATGTTGGAGCTCAGGGGCAGGAGGGTCCCATCTCACAGGCAGATCCTGCCCTGTCCCCCCAGAGGGAGAGCAGTGTCCTCACCAAGCGCCCCCACCTCCACGCCCACCGAGGCCAGCTCCCTGCCTCCCCATCACCAGTTCCACCGCCGCCTCAAGGCTCCCACCCTGGGATGTGGGTCACTTTAGTCACTGTGCTGCTTGGTTGCCATCCCAACCGGCTCGGCAGGGAGGGGACAGTTCCAGAGGAAGGAGGACATCCCCAGAACCTTGCTTCCCTGAATGCTGACACCGTGCAGTGTTGGTCACAGGAGGACAGTGGCATGTTTCTGCTCCACAGGCCGGGCTGCCAACCAGCTGTAAGTTTTGCAGGTTGTCAAAAATCAAAACACACATACAGTGGGGGCCAGCAAGGCCACTTCTGTCTTGAGAAATCATTCCATGTGAGCAAGAGTGCTCGTGGTGACCTTTCCCCGTGATGAGTCACTGGAGACGACCTCATGGCCATGGGCGAAGGGGTCACATGAATGGCCGTGGGTGAGGGGCCACATGAATGAACCACCCACATGGGAGGGACACTCGGGCTCTTAAGTAGAATGAGCTGAAGTAGCAGACGCTGGGGAAAACCCCCCAGTAGGTTGATGTATACTGGGGATCCTTTTATGGTTAAGAGAGGCAGAGGAAACCATTAATACAGCGATGTCTCCAGGCACATGCATCTGAATCGAAGGAGATGAGCCCCCCAAGACGGCTAATAACGGTTATTCCCCAAGGAGGGGAGCCAGGGGGCTGTTTCTCTGTAATGCTTGAAGTTTTTACAAAGAGGATAGTCTCCTGTATTACTGTTATAATTATTAATAGACATAGAAATAAAAGCCAAAGTACATAAAAGAGAAAATAAAGAAGTCCTTTCTGCTCAAATGTTATAAAATGCCCCCAAAATGGAAAAGGAAAAAAAAATAAAGCAGTGGCCCTGTATAAGAAGCAGCTTTTCTGATGCTGGAGAGGCCAGAATTTCTGCCCTGGACCCCGGCTTTGAGGGGGGACACCCTCATTCCCAGTCTGGGGCCTGCCCACCAGGCATCTCTCTCTGCCTTGCTGTGTGGGAACAGGAAGAAGACAGATCTGATTGCCTTGGTAGTCAGATGGGGAACCTGAGGTCCAAACGTGGCGTGGCAGCCCAGGCCTCCTCCTCCTGCTCAAGCCAGCCTTCGTTCTCCGGAGCCCTCCCCTCTGACGCTCTAGTTCTGTCCATTGAAAGAGCTGCCCAAAGCCACTTAACTTCTCTGAGCCTTAGTTTCTTGTCTGCGAAAGGAGGATTCTGACCTCTCCCCTCGGGATGGTTGAGAGGAATAATTGACAGAGTGTATGAGGAAGCACTTAGGTAAACAAACTGTTCCTGTCCACCTCTCCTGGCTACCCCATCTTTCCGCCTCTCTCACTTTCTCCTCCCCAAGCCAGTCTGGTGAGATTTAAAATAGAGCCCTATGACACAGAACCATGTGTGGCGTATGGCTCTGGGTATCCACTGGGCACCCTATTACTGAACGGGGCTTCGGAACCCGGGCCACCCCCATGCCTGGCCTACAGCGCCATGGGAACATAAGGGCCAAGACATGGTGGAAGATCGCTCGGTAGCTCTGTGGCCTTGGGCAAGTCATTTTGCTTGTAAATGGGAACAGCAGGAGTCCTCACATCACCAGGTTTTTGTGAGGCTGAACATGGAGCTGCACAGAGTGGGCCTCACTCAACCCACTTCTATGTCTCTCCTGCCCCATTCCCCCACCCTCAATGGCCCCCATGGATGGGTCTAGCCCTGTCCATCTCCCACCTGCCCATGAATGGAGTGCAGCTCACCTGGGCACCAGCTGTTGAAGAGCAGGACGAAGTGGCCCAGCATGAAGCTGGAGCCCTGGTAGCCGGTGGAGGCCTCCAGGCTGAGGCGGTACAGTCCGATGGGGGCATTGGCTGGGGTGCTGAGCTGCAATGAGAGGACATTGTCCTGCTGGTTTACCATCGAGGCATTCCAGCCACCTTCCTCCACAACATCGGTCAGTGGGAAGCGGGCTTTGGTTCCAGCTTCCTCGCTGGGGGCTGGGCCTGCAGAGGAAGAGAACAGGGGCTGTGAGCCGGGGCGAGCGGGCAGGGAGGGACCCAGGATGACAGGGACCAGGCACGGCTGGGGGTCCACGGGCCTGGGTTCAAGACCTAGTTCTGCCACTAACCACTGAGGGAGCTTCGGCAAGAGGTTTTATCTCCCTGAGCCTCGGTTTCCCCATCTGTAAAGCGGGGACCAAACCCCAACCTTACAGAGTGGTTTTGTGGGAATGCATGAAAAGCTGCAGGCGCACAGCAGGCCCTCAATTAGATAGAGTCCACCTGGAAGAGGGGACAGTGCAGCCTGGCACAGGGTTTCAGTCATACTGTTCTGGAATGCACGACTTTGGACAAGACCATCCCCTTCTCAGTTTGTCCACCTGGAGCATGGATAGGAATTAGACAGATGCTCCCAAGGGTCCCCTTTTCCTGCCTAGTTCCTTTACCTGCTAGCGGCCTTTTCTTTTCAGAAAAAAAAGCCCAGGCTCTGAGTAAGATAGGAACTTGGGCTTCTGACATCTCCACGGGGGCCTGTCTGAGAGTCCCCTTGCTGTCGGGTGCTGGCCCAGGCAGCCTCTAAGTGTTTATCTCCCCCCAGCTTTTGGCCTCTGGATCTCCACAGGCAGACCTGAGGAGGGGTCATAGCCATCCCTCACCTTCCTACAACCTTGTACACTTGATGAAATGCCGTGGCACTCTCTGCTTCCCCTAAGACCCATTATACATGTGGGACAACTGAGGCCTGAAAGAGATGGAGTCTCCCAAAGGTATCCCAGGGGTCTGCAGCAAAGTTAGCGCCTGAGCCCAGGTCTCTAGGCTCTGGGCTGTCCCCCACGGCACCTCTGATTCCCAGAGGATGCTCCCTAGTAGGGGTCTCAAGGTTCAGAGAGGTAGAGAGCTTGCCTCAAACAGCTGCTTTTTTCAGGTGGAGGAGAGGGCCTGGCCCACGCAGGCAGTTCTGAGTCACAGGGAGGGCAAGGGCTGGCTGGCCACCCTTTCTGGACTTGGGTGGCGGAGAGGAGAAACAGGACCTTCTCTGCTCGACTGGGCGGCTGCCCAGGAGGGTTTATTTTTATTTTTCCATCTCCCTCCCTGCAGCTCTGCCCACTGCTGCTGACAATATGGGGGCCTGCTCCCTCCCGTCACCCAGACCCCCGCTTCCCACCCACACCCAGGCCCAAATATAACCATGAACTAACAGGCCTCCGGGACCCTGTCTGGGTGCCAGGAGCCAGCTGTAAGCCTTTAAACGCTCTCTTGTATTCCAGAGTCAGCATTTAAGGGAGGAGTTTGGCAGCCCTGAGGCCAACCAGGGCCTGGTTCTCCCTCTCAGACCCTGAGCACCGTGTCACCTCGGCTAAGTCACAAGCCTTCTCTGATCTGCAACTTTCTCACCAAAGAAGAAAATAGGCTTAGACCACATGTCTGGGAGGATCTGATTCCAGGTCCGATACTGGCTCTGTAACCTTGGACAAGCTATTTAGTTTCTCTGTGCCTCAGTTTTCTCATCTGTGAAACGGGGTCAATTGCAGTACCTCGTCATAAGGTCAGTGTGAAGCTTAAAGAAGGTGAGGTATGCAAAGCACATCACACGGTACCTGGCACACAGTAAGTGCTCAATAAATAATAGTTATTGTTTATTGTCACACTACCTTCCTAACACTGCTTAGAGAGCTCAGAGAAGGCATTTAAAACAGTGACTCACACATAGCAATTATGCCCTAAATGTGAGCTATCCTCAGTATCATCATAAAAGACCATTACAAATCAGAATTCTCAGGCCAAATAAGATTTGAGGACTGGAGTGGAATGGAAACTGAGGCCAAGAGGGGTAAAAGTGAGGGTGGCTCTCTGTCCCAGTTTATGCCTGTGGTCTTAGCATAATTATTAATGGCGTCCCTTTCATTCTCAGAAACGTCCCTGTTTGGATGATCAGTGATCTGGTCACAATGGTTACCACCTGGGCCAGGTCCCATAGCCACAGTCACTGTGGACATACTACTTGTGGGAAAAGGTCAGGAACACACTTCCCTTTCTGTCTGTCCTGGAGCAGCTGTGCGCGCGCGTGCACACACACACACACACACACACACACACACACACACACACACGCGCCCCTTTCTTCCAAAGGGCCTGGAGGGTGGGATGAGGAAGGAGTAGCCCCCTTCCCACCACTGCTCTGCTCACCTAAGCTGGCTTTGAAAATTCCTGGGCTGCAGTTCCACACGGTACTCTTGGTGGGGCCAGAGGCACCACAGGGACCCCTCTAGGCTTAAATGACTCTGGGGACCTGAAGGGCCCTGGCCATTGTCCCAGACCATGGTGGTGGGGAACCCGGTTGGGTGAGTGAGAGGAACCTTCCAGAGCAAAGCCTTCCACTAGCCTCATAAGGGTTCTTTTCACTCCTTCAGGCTGACCTCACTCCCACCCTACTCACCTCCAAGCCCTGACTTCCCCTGAGAGGGAAGCAGAGCTTTAATTCTGGAACAAAGGTGGCATTTGTGTACTGGGGGCTGTACCCTCTAACAGAGCCTGCCAGGTCTCCAACGGTTTGGGTGAAACACACAGCCCCTGGGTATGCGTGGGGTCAGGCCACACACTCCATTTGCTGAGTGACCTTGCCAGCTCTCTCCCCCTCCCTGGGCTTCATTTTCCCCGAAGAGATAAAACAAGCTGATCACCAGCTGGAATGTTCTAACAGAGGAGCAGGGTGCCCAGGCCCGGCCCCGGGCTGGGAGTTGACACAAGCCAGGCCTTGAGTTGGGAAGGCCTGGTTTCCTGCTATTGTCCCTCCGGCTTCCCCAGCCTCGGGGAGGGTCTTGCTTGCTGAGGAAGGGAAGCAATGTGCATCTAGAGATAGTAGTTCCTTCCATGGCTGCTCACAGGGGCTGTGGAAGTGACCAGGGCAAGTGGGCTACAGTTTGAGATAAGCTAGTGAAGACTGGAGAACAGAGATTAGTTGCTGGAGTGGGCAGGCCAGTAGCTTCTACAGCCCTGAACGTGGGACCCTAATTATCTAATGCCAGGTTGCCTAGATAGTTGAGAAAGAGAAAGAAAGGGGACACCCTGAGAATGAAAGAAGAAAAAAGAAAGTGGGGGAATCACAGGCTGCCCAGGCTGGTAGCTCACCTACTGTTCCATTTCACAGAGGAACAAACCAAGGCTTGGCAGGCACTTGTGATTAATAGGTGAAGGTGCCTGTTGTGGGGTCACAGTGATGAAAAACGTCAACTCTGGGGTCAGGGTTTGAATGCTGCTTGTTCTCTGCTCGTTGTGTGATCTGGGCAAGTAACCTGACCTTTCTTTTTGTTTTTTGAAAGATTTTATTGGGGAATCGGGGAAGGGGAACAGACAAGTTGCTATCCTTTCGTTCGTCAGTCTAGTTGTGGAGGACGTTGCTTCACTGGCCCTTGTTGGTATTATCATTGTGCTCTTCCCGGGTGAGGCAGTCGCTTGCTGGCCATTGGATGGCTGCTCACGCTGGCTGCCAGCCTCACACGGTAGCTTATGGCAGCCCACTGCAGCAGGGACTGCAGCCTACGCCATTGCCGGCGACTCACAGCAGCCGAGCTCCAGGTCAAGCTGTTGTTCACTATCTTAGCTGTAGAGGGCGCAGCATCACTGGCCCTCATGTGGGATCTGAACCGGGGCTCTGCTGCTCAGAGCTGGTGTCCCAAGCCAACTCTTAACCAATGCGCCACTCGGCCGGCCCTGACTTGACCTTTCTGACCTCAGTGAACTCCTTACGCTGCCAAGATGGGAGAGTTCTAATAGGATAGGAATGCAAACAGTAGGCGCTCCATGGGTGTGAGTTTTATCATCCTAAGCCTGGCTCTTCTCAGAGCACCACTTGCTCCAACCTTCCACTTTATAGAAGGGAAACTGAGGCTAGAAAGATCAGAGACTAGCTGTTAGAAAGGGCCCCACAGGTGCTGTGTGTGTGTGTGTGTGGGGTGTCCCTGGGTAACTGGTATGTCTTTGCCAGAAGGGAAGGAGGGGGTAGGAAAGGGAAAAAGGGCATATCCGTGGCCACTCTGCAAGCCTTGCGATAAGCTTTATCAAATGGCTTCCCAGGTAAATACAGGCCTCAGCCAGGAGGGTGCAGTTCCTGCTTGCTGTTGTCTGCCCTTGGAGACCTCAGAAAGAGCTGACCTTTCCTACCCTTGGGCCAGAGTCCCAGCCAGGTGCTCCCTCGCTGACCTCAAAGGAGTGGTTTCCACCAGAAGTCAAAGCAACCAATTCAGCATTCCAGGTGACTTTCCCAGGATTGGACAACTGGGCATCTGGGAATGGGGTGGCTGGGGCCTCAATGTCCCTTCACCCATCACTGAAGCCCCTGAAGCAAGACCAACAATGTCTACTAAAGTCAACAGGGTGCTCCCCTAAGTCAGGCCCTTCTTACTCAACAAACCTCCACCATGGCTGCTTTTCACATAGGCTCAGAGAGCCTAAGCAACTTGCCTCTGGCCACACAGCGGGTAGGCAACCCAGGTCTGCACCAGAAACCAGGTCTGTCCATCCAGCCCCCAAGCCTGAGGCAGCCTCCCAGAAGACCGGAGCCAGCTGGGTTCTCTCCACTGCCCAAAGCCAATCTGGGCCTGATCCCAGAGGCCTGGTCAAGTTGCGTGGATTTTGGGAAGTGGCTGTTGGTAAAACTGGAAAGTTGTTTTGATGTAGGAAAGAGTGAGCAAGCTCTTGATGGACCTGCGTGATAGGAAGCTGACCCAAGCCTGCTGATAACAGGATTTCAGGAGCCCAGGTGTGCAGAAGCACAGGTTTGTTTACAAATCTGGCTGGCCTGGGGTGACATCTCTCGACTTTCTGGACCTCAGTCCCTGCGTCTGTGACATGGAGCTAGTGACTGCTGGGAATTGCCCAGGGGGCAAAAAGGAATGGGGTCACCTGTCTCACTGTCACAAGACAATGAAATCACAGAACAGGGCAAGCCAGAGCGGAGTGGGAGGTGCAGATACTCACCGGTCACGGCACTGAAGGTGAGGCTGTCCACGCTGGCCTCGTAGTTTCTGCCCTCGAAGTGCAGCGTCAGCCAGAAGGGCTGGCCCCGCCGTACCACAAGCCTCTTCTCACACAGGTCTGCCGTGTAGTGGTCACGGCCATTGGCCTCCAGCTCCAGGTCGCATCTCTCCAGAACCAGCTCTATGGAGTCAGTGAGGAGCGTGAGCCGTGGTGGCATCCCTCAGCCAGCTGTGACCCCCTGCCACACACCTGCACTCCCTGGGCACGGGGCCCCCCAGGGAGCCAACCCTCTCTACGCAGTAGTGACCATCCTTCCTCTTCCCAACCCCCACCCCACCCCATCACTTAGAGACCAGCTGGGAACAAATCTCCCTAACTCTTAATCACAAGGCTGTGCCCACTGTGGCATGTCGGGAGACAGCTCTGCCACCTCCCAGCTGTGTGACCTCAGGCAACTCAACTTTTCTGGGCCTCAGTTTCGCCATCTGTCCACAGGTGAGGATAGCAGGGTCCCCCTCACAGGGCTGTTGTGAGCCACTTAGTCCAGTGCCTGGTGCGTAATAAATGCTTACTAAACGCGAGCTATTCTATCGTTACTGGGGGGCTCTTTGGGTTAAAGCAAGGGCAATATGCATATATTGGGCTGTCGGAGAAGTCATGGCACACTTTTTTCTATGTTTTTCATGGCAAAAATGCATAGGTTGATTACACAGGCTTTGCCTTTTAGGTGCCATTTCCAATGTACAGGAAATACAGGAGACTGAGGACTATGGTAAATAAAGAACCAGGAAACAATCAATAAAATTCATTTTCAGGGAAACTATACACAAAGGATCTGGTTTCTTTAATAACTACATTGCAATAAAAAAATAGAAAAAAAAAGTTCAAGGAAGAATTTTAGAATAAGAGAAAACTCGGAGACATTCCAACCCCTTGTGCTGCATAGGCCTTATTTAGATTTTGATTAAAAAAAAAACTATTACATGTATGAGACAACTGGAAATTTGAATACTGATGGAAAAATGGTGATATTAAAAATGTTTGTTAATTTGTTTATGTATAAAACAGAGTCCTTATCCTTTAGAGATACATATTGAAATATTTACAGATGAAATGATGTGATGTCTGGGATTTGGGGGTGAGACGGAAGTGCAGGAGGCAGGAGTAACCATAGGTTTGTGGAGGTTGGGACGGGGTGATAACATAGGCATTTATTATTATTCTATTCTCTCTACTTTTATGGATGTTCAATAGTCTTCATAATAAAAGTTTTTATTTTTATTTTTTAGCTGAGACATCCTGCTACCTATTGGCAGCTTAGTGGCAGCTCAGCTCAGGCTGGGCATCGAACTGCTGTTGCTCAGAGCTCAAACTCTTGAGCGAGCTCTTAACCAACTGAGCCACTTGTCCGGCCCAAAAGTGTTTGTTTGTTTTTTAATCACAGGGGTTTGGAGTCTTTGGGACCCAGGCTTCAGTTCTGCTGTGCCACTGTGTGACCCTGGACAGGTGTCTTTGCCTCTCTGTGCCTCCTTTGCTGAAGCCTCGAAGGGCTACTGTGAGTTCCAGCAGAGGATCTTGGGACACCTTTTCCCCAGGGCTTATCTCAGGGCTGGAGCTTGATATGTGAAAGTTTTGGTTTTCAGAGGGAGATGAAGACCTAGGTACGGGTGGGGGTGATGGGGTGGATGGGCGTCTGAGAGAAGCACAAACCCCATAAATCTTGGCAACCTCAAGGTCAAGATTAAGAAGCCCATAGGGTGAGGGAATTGGGCAAGACAGACTCTCAGGGAGTTGGAGTGCCCTTGGGGAGCGTGCAGTGCAACCGAGGCCCAAGAGTGGGGATTTGTCCAGTCACCCAGCGTGTCAATCCTTCTACTGGGACATGATCCCAGCTCTCCTGCGTCCCACCACAGAATATCCCAAAAGTGAGGTGCAATGTGCCTACTGGCTGCAGAGCGAGACATTATGTGGCCCCAGGTCCCACGGCAAGTGGCGACTTTGGGACTTGAATCCAGGGCTATAGATTCTGGAGCCTGCACTTCAATCAGAGCTCAGGGTTTGTTCTCCATCCCCCTACTTCTTTCTGCCCCCCCCCCGCCCATGTTCTGTGTTGTTCCCTAGCCTGGGAGGGGACATCTGGAAGCTGACCCCCTACAATCACAGCTAGAGAGACTTCCACACAGAAGAAAGATCTTCCTGCTGGCTTGCTGGGGGTGAGGAAACACTGTTTTTGGAAACTTCAACCCCCTAAAATCTTAAGCAGGAAAGAGACCACCGCTGTCCCCCTGGGAGACTTTAGAGAGATGGTCAGTCCCTGGTCTCGGGCTATTATCTAGAGAAGGGTTTCCAGAAGTCATGCCCAGCTCCAAAGGTGCAGATACAATGGGGTCTGGAATCACAGGGTTTCTGCACTGAGGACGGACCTTAGGTCTTCCTGGCTGGGGGACCCCTGTAGGAAGTGGCCACTGTGACAATGGGGCAGAAGGTTTATCATCACTGGCATCTTCAAGGTCTCCCACCCCCACTGAGCCTCACTCTTGGGGACAGGGATGGGAAGCTGCATTGGGGATAAGGGGCCACCTAGGCTACATGTCACAGCCAGCCCTGAGTTGGTTTTTAATCCCATGTGCTGGGGATCTGGGTCCCAGAGAGGGACAAATGTGGCCTGAGATCACACAGCCGGCCAGGAAGGTCCACGGTTCCTCCCGCTCGTCCCTGTCCCACCTGCCCCATGTCCCTCTCTGCATTCCCTCTCCGCACACCTCCTTCCTGGGGGTGGCAGTGGTGCAGAGTTCATCTGCAAATGAACTTTACCCAAACGCCAGCCAGATACTGGGTCCAGCAGCATGAATGCAGGGACATCCTCCATTGCGGAGATCCCTCTTCTGGGCTGTGTGTGTGTGTGTGTGTGTGTGTGTGTGTGTGTATGGGGGGCAGGTAGGAAACTAACTGAGCCCCTTCTCCACTCCTCTCTGCCCTCACAGGTATACCAAGGGCTGGCATTATCATTCATGTTTTATAGGAGGGGAAGCTGAGACTCAGCAAGTGGCCAAGGACTAGGGTTGTAGAACTTGAGGGCCAGAAGGGGCCTAAGAGAACATGGCTGCCCTCAGCCCACTTCCCCATAGGATGCTGGAACCTCCTCTCTGGCCCCCAGGGCCAAGGAGTCAGCCAGGGTTGGCTGGCACACTATCAGGGACAGCATGCACACCTCCTTCCAGCTGGCAGGGACTGACAAAAGCTAAGTGTTCTGAGGCCAGACCAGCACCCCATACACAGCTTCTCGCCACCTGGCACACAGTAGGGACGCAGCCCCACTGACTGACTCAGGACCTGGACAATGGTCCGCTAGCATGGTACGTTACAGCTTACAACACACCTTCATGTTCCATGGCCTCATCTGATTCAGGGAGCCAGGGGTTAATGATTATTCCCTCAGGATGGGGAAACTGAGGCCCCAAGCCCAGCCAGGACTGCGAGCCAGGCACCTCTCCCCCAGCCCAACACTCCTGTTGCTCTCCAAATCAGGGACTTAAAGATTGACCCCCAAGCTTCTCCTGACCCCCATTGAACTGGCAGACCACTGAGACCAGGAAGGGACAGCCAGGCAGGGGGTGGCAGTAGCGCTGACGTTAATACTCACCCTCGGCCATGGTCAGGTGCTGGCGATGACTCCTCAAACTCTCCAAACGCGGCAGGACACTCCAAGTTTAGACCACTGGCAGCAGGCACTGCAGAGGCTGAGAGCAACGGCAACTTATAGCCCTCTTTGGGGCGGGCAGGGGGGTGGAGCCACAAAAGGAGGCGGGGACCTGGTGAGGCCACTATCGCCCAGTCTGAGCCCACGCTCTGGGCTGGCCGGCTGGGGCAGGAGCCCAGGGGAGGGACAGAGCGGTAGCCAGGCAAGGGCTCCCCCTGCGGGAACAGACCCAGCACAGGGCTGAGACAGCAAGGACAAGGACACACAATTAGACCAGGACACACAGACATACCTGGACCCACAGCATCAGACGTTGGGTAACAGAGACACCTGGACACAAAAATTCACACATGCAGATACAGACCCACAATCAGAGACATAGGGAAGTGGCTACACAGAGACACAGGCACATTTCCACAGATACAGCAGACAAACCTGGACATACAGACACATGTGACATGGACACAAAATTAGATTAAAACCGCAGAGGCATGCCAGGACAAAGACACAGCTAGACACACAGGTATCCACCAAGAGCCACACATAAATGCGCAGGTGTCCAGATACACCCAGCTCATAGACACACACAAATAGACCTCACAGACACCAACCAACACACCATCAGATGTGGGCACAAAATCAGATTGGGGTACCCACAGACACGCCAAGATGCAGATACTCAGAGATGGCACACATACAGACACAGACGCATGTGCAGATACAGACATACCCACAAAGACAGGCACACCCACATATCTTTCTGGAGCAAAACCCAGATAACCTGCCTATCTCATCCATCCCTCAATCCATCAAATCATCTATCCATCCATCTGTTCGTCTACACATCCATCCATCCACTCACCCACCCACCCACTCATCCATTCAACCCTCTCCTCCCCCATCTTCCTTCCTCCCTTCACTGATCTTCTCTGCAGTCCCACTGTGTGCCATAAAGGAACAAAACCAACTTTCCAGGGACTCAACCTCTGACCCTCATGCCTAACACCCTGGGGGGGTGAGGGGGGCATCACCCATCCTACTCTCCCTGGCTCCTTGGCCTCCTATGCCTTTTACCCACTGTGAGGCCTGAGTGGTGAGGGTCCCTGGAGAGACAGGGGCCTGTGGACCTCCCCAGCCCTTTTTCCAGAATACATTCCATATCCGTTGATGGATTTGGGCTACAGAACTGGCCCCATTTTCCATTCCTGTGTGACACAGCGCAGGGAAGAAACCTGTGTTTCTTTCCTTCTTTAAATAAATTTCCTATGTATGTTTTTTTTTATTAACTTTATTGGGGAACAGTGTGTTTTTCCAGGACCCATCAGCTCCAAGTCAAGTAGTTGTTTTCAGTCTAGTTGTGGATGGCGCAGCTCAGCTCCAAGTCCAGTCGCCACTTTCAATCTAAATAGTATTGGGGGGAACTGGAGGGGGGGGGGTGCAGTGCAGCCCACCATCCCATGCGGGAATTGAACCAGCAACCTTGTTGTTTAGGGCACGCGCTCTAACCAACTGAGCCATCTGGCCACCCACCGGCAGCTCAGCGGCAGCTCAGCTCAAGTCGTTGTCTTCAATCTAGTTGTGGAGGGCACAGCTCACTGGCCCATGTGGGAATCGAACCGGCAACCTTGTTGTTCAGAGCACATGCTTTAACCAACTGAGCCACGTGGCTGCCCCCAAACCTGTGTTTCTTTAGTGGATGTTTGTCCCTGGGCCAAATGGGCCCTGCCTGGGGTCTTAGTGAACAAACTCGTGACGCAGTGTTGGGTCCTGCTGACCTATAAAATGGCCCCACGGGTGGACCTTGTAACTGCTACATTTTACAGATATTGTTGCAGAAACTGTTCCCAGCAGCTGGCAAGAGCTCAGAGGGAGGAGCAGGGTGAGTGAACATCAGTCAGGAAATTTAGGTTTGAGTTCCCACTCTTCCCCTGACCAGCCGGGCAGGTATTTTGGCTTTCTATGCCTCAGTTTTCCCCTCTGCAAAATGGAGTCAAGGATTTATCCCTAACAGGCCTGGAGTAAGTTTGAACCAAAATGATTGAGATCAGGCATCTGGTACATAGTGAACAATCAATAACCGGGTGTCCCTGAGTTTTAGAGCAAAAATGCCAATTGTCCTAGAACCAGGCCCTGAAGGACAGGGACCTCAAACAAACAGGAGGCATGGGGACAATCAGGCTTTGCAGAAGGAAGACTGCAAGCTTTGTGGTCCACATGTGTCAGTCCTATCTCACGTGAAAGGATGGATTTTGCTTTCGTCCACATTCTTTTCCATTGAAAGTGACATGTTCTCAATGTGGTATTTATTTTCCTTTATAATCCTTATCTGGGAGCTCCCCGGGGCACGTAAATGCACTCATGTCTTCTTGGAATACCTATCAGATTGTTTCCGGTGCCCAGCGTGGGCTTGGCACAGGGCCCTGCTCTGTCCCTGACCCAACTGGCTGCCTCATCTTCCTTCCTCTCCCCTTCCATGGAACCATGGCCTCCAGAGTGATGCAGTGTCTTGAGCAACCCCAGAACAGGGCTAGCAGGGTCAGGACTAGCTTCTGAGAAGTGTAAGGCAGAGGCCAAAGACTTGGATTCTTGGCCCAGTGACCAGGGGCCCTCGACCCACTCTGGGTCTCCATTTTCCCATCTGTTCAGGAGGGCTGGAAACCCCTGCCTTGTCTGACCTCACTGGGCATGTAAGGACTCAAAACTTCGGTTTCCTGAGGGTAAAATTGAGACCCAGTGAGGGTGGCCATAGGCTTACGGTCCCCAGACAGTACAGGCAGGGGCCCTTCATCATCCTGTGCGAGGCGGGGGGGGGGGGGGGGGGGGAGGGGTTGCTGTGGAATGGTTACAGCAGGGAGTATCTGGGGTCACTGTTGGCTGGGCAACCCTGGACAAGTTACTAGCCCTCCCTGAATCTTAGTTTTCTCCTCTATAAAATGGTATAATAAGAGTCCCCACCTCTGGGGGTTAGAGATAATGTCTGTTCAGTGCCAGGCACATGGTAAGTGTTCAATTAATAGTACCTAAGACTTATTTATGATGATGTTATCAAGAGTCAGGACTCTCTTTCTTTTACAAAGGGAGGTTCCTATTGTATGAATAGGTGAAGCAGGTTGCAAAACAATGTAGAATATTTCGGGGGGTGGGGGCGGTGCTCAGAAGAACTCTCTGCCTCCTAAGTAAGTTTTCTACCCAGGGTCAATGATACCTGGATCCCATCATTAGAGAGATTAGTCTTTCATTGACAAAGATTTCCAGGCCTGAGGTAGAGAAAAAGGTGAATTTTTAGAACTTTTTAATAACTTATTACCAGCCAGATGTCCCATTTAAATCTCACAATATGATTTCTGTCATTTGTTAAATGAAGAAACTGGGGTTCAGAGAGGTGAAGTGACTTTGCCAGGGTCACACAGTCAGGAAGTGGAGCGTGGAGCCTAGGGTTGATTCAAAAACCAGCAGTGGGGTGGCCAGGGGGCTCAGTCGATTAGAGCGCGAGCTCTGAGCAACAGGATTGACAGTTCGATTCCCACATGGGCCAGTGAGCTGCGCCCTCTGCAACTAGATTAAAGACAATGACTTGAGCTGAGCTGCCGCCAAGCTGCTGGTGGGCGGCCAGATGGCTCAGTGGGTTAGAGTGTGTGCTCTTAACAACAAGGTTGCTGGTTCGATTTCCACATGAGATGGTAGATTACACCCCCCTGCAACTAGATTGAAAATGGCAACTGGACTTGGAGCTGAGCTGCACCCTCTACAACTAAGATTGAAGGACAACAACTTGACTTGGAGCTGATGGGTCCTGGGAAAAAAAAACACTGTTCCCAATAAAGTGAAAATAAATAAATAAATAAAAAGCCAGCACTGATTCTTCCATGGTTAAGGGGTCAGTCCTATCTCCTGCCACTGGGGTTCAGGGACCTGGGTCATGTCCAGCCCTACAGCCCTTGGCAAGTAAGGCCTCCAAGAGCAGCAGCCCATGCTTCTCATCCATGATGTCTGGTGTACAGTGGACATTCAATAAATGTTTGGCAGGAGAGAGAAGAGAGAGGAGTGTGTCACAGAGAGTTGAAGGAAGAATGGAAGGAAGGAAAAAAAGAAAAGGATTAAGGCTCAGAGAGGTTGGGAAAACTGCCTGAGGTCACACAGCACAAGTGACTTCCCAGGCCCTGGCTTGGCTGAGCCATTCCTCAAGGATAAAGGGCCCGAAAGCCAGAGATGGCACTAGATGGCTGAACTGGGAGGAGAGGAAGGATGGGGCAGTCGTGATAGGGCATTTGAAAGCCTCAGCTTTTCTACCAACTGGTGACTAATGAGAGATGAGCAGCGTCTGGCATGAGCAAGTCCAGGGAGGGCAGGGCCAGACTCCCCTGAGGTGGGATGGGCTGAGAATAGGAGACTTGGGGAAAAGGTCAAGAGGTTAGTGTGACCTTTCAGGCCCTATGAGAGGGAGTGCGGCCGGTGGCCTGTCCGAAGCAAAATCTGTGTGTCTCAGGCTGTGGGAGCAGAGAACAGGGCACCTGACTGAGATGACCCTCCCAACGTGCCCATTTTGCAGATGGAGAAGCTGACCTAATCATGGCGTCCTCAGTTCCACGGCCACAATGCATTCCCCTTCCCCACTGTCCCTGGCCCCAGCCTTGGATCTTAGCCCCAACTATGCCACTTAAGCTCTGTGGGCCACGGGCACTTTAGTTCACCTCACTGAAGCTTCAGTTTCCATTTCTGTAAAAGCAGACCTCACAGGGCTGGTGTGAAGATGAGAGGAGCCGTGGGGCCAGAGGGAGCCTCTGAGATGCAGCCTGATTCCTCCCCTCTTCTGCTGAAACCCCTCAGGGGGAAGTTTGCGCTCCTCAGTCTGGCATCTGGCCTGGCATCCGAGGCCCTGCAGGTCTGGCTCAACTCACCTTCCTATAGCATCTCCCACATTTGTACCTTCCAGGCTCACCAGACACTCTACTAGGTCCCAAATAGATGCATGCTGCGATTTTATCCACCTCCAGGCCCTTACTCAAGCTGTGCCCTTTACCTGGGATGCCCACTGCTCTACACCTATCAAAATTTCATTTGGT